TGGTTCACCTGTTGCTCTCTCCAGAAAATATAAACGCGAGCGCGCTGGATGACCAGATAGAGCGCGCATGACCTCGCGGGCAAGAGGGACAGAATGCACAGCCTCGCATGTGTCCATACCCCATCTACCATGCCGCCGGGTTTGGAAAATATCCACATCGGCTGCTTCCAGCTGACGTACGCCCTGCTGGCGATTTAAATGTGTCTTTTTGTTGAATGTGGGAAAGAGGTGCTGGAACACAGCTTCGTAGCTCTTTTATGGGTGTTGTACATAATAGACTGGGTTTTCTGTCGACCGCGTAAAAGTTTAATATCAAACCAGTCTTTCGCCTGCTTAAACGATGGGAATGGCTCCTGCTTCACATGGAATAGCTCAAATAGGTACAAGGCGACGCTGTCAACTGGACAGCCGTATACATCTTTGTTGCGCATATACCCAACATGTTGTAGTTTGCCAAATGTGTTGGTCTTTCCATGCTGAATCAGCAAAACAAGAGCAATGCAGGGCTGAAAGCCTTCATGATCTAGTTTCTGCGAGAACATGTTAGCTAGCTCCAAATCGCGGACATTCTCAACACGCAACAGACCAAAATGTGAAAGAAGAAAGGCAGTACGCCCTCGTAAATCATCCAGCGAAAGAAAAGTATCACAAAGTTCCTATGACGAGAACTGGCGCGGTGATCACGTGGGTGGAGAGTCATTTTGGCCAATCATTATTATGTCGAATGCACTGAGATCAGAATTGAATTGGAGCGCACTCCGCAGCTTTGGGCTAAGAACTGGTAAGCCACTGCACCAGTTTAATGCAGAAATGTCACGAGCCTAGTTTCCGCTCAGCGGTGTTCTACGTCGATCAATTCAAACAGTTAGATATTATAAAACGGGTGGTATTGCAGTGGTTCTCACATTTGCTATTGGTACCTCCGCTCCGTGTACCAAAAATACGTCCGATAAATTGCAGCTGGCAAACGGGACGATTGGATATGTGGTGGGTTATGTTTGTTGTAATATCCGAGTGTGCCAGAAACGGTGAAATGAACAATGACTGAATTGAGAGCTTAGAGAAAATGTAAAGGATGCAAGTGCTTCCGGGAGCGGCAGCAACTACGGAGCACGCGCGCGTCTTGGACCAATTGTGGTCGATCCACGTGCCGTTGCCAAATCCATGGCAATGCACGTGTCAACGTGCAATCGCAGAGCTTGTGAAGCGTGACAGATGTCACAATCTCCCCTACTTGGTTTGCTTCGAATTGGTGAATGCCTTGACGAGTACGTTCCAATGCGAGAGCTTTCGTAGTTTGGTGATCGGCACCCACGAGTTCTGCGAGGCGGATAAATCAAGCCATTTGACCAGATACTGAGTTTTGCCGCTGCGGATACGTCGCTTTTTCAGGCGTTCCGCCACGTAAATGTGCTCTTCGACAGCATCGTAGATTGCTGGCGCGGCCTTGGAAATTACACGGTGCTCGAACAGAGGCGGATTCTCCATCGAGCGCTTCAGCTGATCCACGTTGAATGATGGATGGCGTCGATCATTGCATGAGGCAACTTGAGGCGATAAGCGCTGGTACCAATGCGTGCACTGACAGGGTATGACCCGATCCAGCGCGGCAGAAGCTTGTTCACGGTTGGGTCATTAGTCGGGTCGTACGCAGGCTGACCCACCTCGTTCAGATTGAGCACTTTGGCGTCAATGTAGACCAAATCACCCACTTCGTACGTCACTTCCTTACGGTTTTTGTTGAAGTACTTTGCTTGACGAGCTTGGGCTTGTTCCAGGTGCTTCTTGGCGCTACGAAGAAGTTCCTCACGGTGCTGGACGAACTTGGCGTGGGGTCCAACAACACGTCGGGTCACGCGGATTGCAGTAGTTGGCTGGCGACCGGTGTCTCGCTCAAAAGGTGACAACTTGGTAGATGAATGGATAGCTGTAGCATGTGCATATTCCACCGTCGGAAGAACATCAGCCCAGTCATCACCATAGTGAGATAGCGTGCAGCGT